CTTGCATGAATAAGCTTAAACACAACAAAGAGGGGTTGAATTCCTTACCTAGGTTCCTTGGATGCAAGTCTAGGGGTTCAATCTAGCAATCCACACTTCAATTAGCAAGCAATTCTCAAGTTGAGCTCAATTCTCTCCTATCTCCTCTCTTGTCGGCTAGTGTAAGGAAAAAGGGCTGAGGAAATGGTTTTTGATTTAAGTGTATGAGTGTATACAAGGCTCAAAGGTGTGTGAGATAGTGGCCCACTTAGTGGCAAGTTGGTAATTACGGTAAACTTTGCAATTGATCAAGATTTAATCTAATTTACTCATACCTAATCAGTTTTCAGATAATTATATCATAAAATCACATTAATTATGATGATCATAAAACAATAACCAATTCCCAGTTCGGCCGTCGATAAGGCCTTCAATTAACAGTTTAAACAGAAAACACGAACAGATCAAATAATCAATCAAACAGATAGAATACAAATTAACATACATACTTAGTCAATTCAGTTCCAGTTTTCGGTCAGTCAGTTCAGTACTTTCACCAGTCCAATTATCAGTCATAAGATGGTTATCGGTAATCAATCAGTCATTAATCGGTAAACAGTATGAAGGTTGTTACATTGGGCCCCGTAAGACTTGCTATTGGTTTTATTTTGATGATCCAAATCATTTAATTTTCAAACCATATTGTTGAACTATAAATGAAAATATAAGGACAATGTAATACATCCAACTATTTCAGTCATGAAAAATATGGATCCAATTGACTTGTCATACAATAATCAAACTGCAATTATGATAATTTAGTTTGATTTAATCAAATAAAAAATATAATTATCGTTCATTGTCCAGTGCAATTCTTGAAAGGGGTAGTAGGAATGCATCATCACCTGATGAGCTATCCTTGATGGTGCCACTCAACCATTTTGTATAACAAATTGATGATTCTTTTGCTCTTATCCTATTGTGTTTGTTGCACATAGATTTCAAGGCTGCAAATAATACTAAGATCTCCTTTGGAAAGACACAATTTTAACACCACAAAAAAAAAAAAAAAAAAAAAAAAAAAAAAAAAAAAAAAAAAAAAAAATAAAAAAAAAAAAACATTAATTTTGGTACTCTAATAGAGCACCAAAAAAAAAAAAAAAAAAAAAAAAAAAAAGAAGCAAACAAACAAACTATAAAAAGTTAATCCATTATTTCAATTTTTTTCTAAATTATTTTGTTAAAAACTAAAAAATCACATAAAAAAAAAGAAAGAAAAAAAAAGTCAATTCTCACACTAATCATAAGTTGAACCGCCAGAGTGTGTGACACCAACAGCCCCTCTCTCACTTTCTCTTTACCGAACACCCAACACAATGTTGCACACTCATGCTTCCAAAATGTTTTATATTCAAATATATATATATATATATATATTTAGAACAATATTTAAAAATAAAATGTATATATGAATTTAAGGGTAAATTATACTCGTTGTAGTTATAGTTTGTCTTTTGTATCAATTTGATTATAATTGCAATAATTTGGCCTTTGAATATTTCATATTATGTTAATTAGGTTTGGCTTCTCTCAAATTGTGATCTCAATTTGAGAGAGCGTTTTGGCTTGATAGGCCTATTTTGATTTCGATTTTAGTTATTTGAATTATTCACTTTTTAAGATTTGTTGAGTAAAATATTAATGCAAAAAAATTAAGATGATTGAATATAGGTAGCTATATATTTGAATGATATTTGCTTTTAAAAAATAGATGACAAATATAATTTTAAGAATAGCCATTAGTTTTTTGTAATACAAATTTGATTCAAACATGTAACTATCGATATCGAAGGAAGAGGAAGAGGAGCGTCGGTAGAGAAGAAGGTGGTGTCGATGAAGAGGATGTGACTAAACGGGTGAGAAGAAGAAGTTGTTGATGAAGATGGTGGGTTTTTTCGTTATGTTCAAATTGAGAACAGAGAGTGAGAGAGAGATAGAGAGGGATGGTGGGGGGTAGACGTGGGTAGGTGGGCAACCATTATTGATACATTTAAGCAAGAACTATCATTGATCTGAACCATTAATATAAATTTAGGATTTATCTCACCCGTTCAAACGAAAATGTATTTGATACACTTTCAAAAACCATCTTACTTTATTATATAGATTATTTGCCACCTCATTAGAGGTGTAATTGGGGGTGATAAAAAAATAAGAAATGTAGCAAAACTCTTTTGTACTCTCAATTTCATCTCTAATGATATGCCCACCACAATGTGAAACAGTCTCACTCTTCTCTCTCTCCTCATCTTTAGCCTCCCTAATTCTACATTATTGAGAGACCAAAATTAAGGTGATCTTAGGATGATCAATTTTATCTCTAATGATAAAAAAGGGAAAAATGTAGCAATACTCTTTTGTACTTCCAATTTCATCTCTAATGATGTGGTCCACCACTATGTGAAGTAGTCTCACATTTGTCTCTTTCATCTTTAGCCTCCCTAATTCTACATTACAGAGAGACCAAAATTAGGGTAATCTTAGGATGATCAATTATTGTCCCATTCAAAAAACAAAAAATTATTATTATTATTCTCATTGACTATGCTGCTTTTACCAAAGGAAAATATGATTGACCGAGTTGTCATTAAACTATATAAAAAGTACATAAAAATAAATTATAAATTGAAATTGAAATTATTATTTTTTATTTTTATTTTTTTAATAACTTTTGTTTTAATTTGTAACAACAATTCCTTTGAACTATCAATAGGCTGCCCTTTTTAAGAAATGGCTGAAAGAATTCATTTATGTGAAAGTTTTGTAGAGGGTTCAAAGAAAATATTATTGGTTGGTCTAGGGTCGTAATATTTTTCATCAATCACAAATCACCATATCTATTCATATTCTCTAATCACTTAACATAAAATTGTGAATTTTACATCTTCTACTAATTATAACACCGTTGAAGTACTACTTGGCGGTGTCCCAGGACCAACCAATAACTTCTCAGTTTAAAACCACAAAGTGGATGAAATTGTTATCTTTATGTATCGTTTATATTTATCATTTTATTTATGGCAAATGCTAATAAGTGCTCTTTACACATTATTTAATGTTGAAAAGTATGTGTAAAACAACAATGATTCATCCCACTAAAAACATCACCACTAATAGCACTAATGCATTAAAAAAGTTAAAAAAAAAAAAAAAAATACAACTTCAAGACCAAAACATCACATCATTAATGGCGGGACCCACTGCCACCTAATTAGTGGGAGCACTAATTAATGCTTCCAAGCATTTTTCATGTACAAAATGTCTTGAAAATATGTATAAATATTAAAAAAATGTATTGATTTTAAAAAAAAAAAGTGTATTGAATTTAATGAAAAATATTATGTGTTTTTTAAATTTTTTATCATTTACTTGTGTCCTAAGAGCACTTGTTAACAAGATCTTTTATGCCAGTTCAAATAAAAAAAAAAAAAAAAACACAAGATCTTTTATGTATCAATTATTAGTTTAATAAGTTTCATTCATCATGTATTTTATTAGTACGATGTGACATGTTACGTAATAAACACAATTTATTGATGGGATAAATAAATGCAAAACTGATTTTGAAATGAGCCTTGACATGTCACCCCTTTATTCTAATTTTAATTTGGTTATCAAACTACCCGTAGATTTACTGTGCACTAGCTTTGAACCCTTTGAAGAAGACGAATAGATCAGATCAATACGCATTGTCCTTTTGCATTATGTGAGAACTTTGATAAGGGAAGAAAGAAAATGGTTATATAAATCATTTTGAGAAAAGATATTGCCATTTATGTTCCTTTTATTTGAATAAATAAAAGACAAAAGAAAAAAAAAAAAATTTTTCATATTTTATTTGATTAAATTACATTAAAAAAGAAAAGAAAAAAAATTTATTTCATATTATAATACAAAAATAACTTTTGATAAATGCCACTTTTTTTTGATTTTTTTTTAATATCCAAAAGGGCAATTTGAATAAGAATTATAGAAAATAGTTATTAGTTAGCTTATTTTTTCTTTCATGCTTCATTTGTTTGGGTGAAATTTTTTTTATAGAAAACTTTTTTGGAGAAAACATAGATGGTGGTGGAACAAAGATGGAGGTGGAGGTGGTGGGACATGACAATGATGATGATAGTGATGGTGATAATGACTGTGGTCGTGGTGATGGTTGTAGAGATGAGAGTGACAGTTATAATATGATGAGATTAGTATGATTTTAGTTTAAAAAATGTTTTCTTTTAAAAATGAAAAATATTTTTGCCTATGTAGGTTTTTTTTTTTTATTAATTATGAAAAATATTTTTCGTTGATTTTAATTTTTATATCAAACACCAAAAAATATTTTATTTTTCACCCAAATAAATAGAGTATCAATCTCTCCACTTTTGGAGATATTTAAATTAAAAATTATAAAAATAAAATAAATTTCTATCTATTTCTTTCTATTTTACCATATTTCTCTCGTCATTATTTATCCAAAGAAATAAGATGAATGAAAAGAAATGTTTTTTTATTTTTAAACTCTAAATCACGCAATCCTAACGAGGACTTGACTCTTAACGAGTGAGGAAAAAGGATCATTGAACCCCAACATGTATTATATTACATTACTCCCTTCGTCCCAAAATATTAGTCTTTTATTTCATTTTTTATTGTTCCAAAATATTAGTCCTTCTTTATAAATCAAGTACAAAAATAATATAAATTTCCTATTTTGCCCTTCTTTTAAACTAATAAATAATTTAAAAAGTACAATTATGATATTGATATTCCCAAAAAATATACTATCAAAAGGGTAATTTTGGAAAATCAACTTTTTTCAAATGTAATAAGTGTATTACTAAAAAAAGTTAGATTTTCCGAAAGGAACAAATATTTTGGAACGAAAAGAGTATATATAAATAAATAAATAAAGTGAAAGGAGTCATTGAACCCCCAACCTTGACTAATGTGCGTATATATGCAACGTGAAATGTGTAGGTTGGGAATAAAAAATAAAAGAAAGAAAAGACAGTGAGAGGTATGGGGTTAGAATTGGGGGTTAGGGATTGCATCGATAATATGTGGGAGGAAGAAGAGGAGCAAATTCGGGAGTGCGGGGGGTCAGATTCCGTATGGGAGAGACTGAGGAACCATCCCATCTACTCACCACCACAATCTCCCACCTCCGTCTTCCTCATCGCTGCACAATTCCACTTCTCACCACCACCAACTACCTCCGTCCTCATGTCTCCATATCTCGACTTCTCACCACCACCACCACCACCACCACTACGAATTCTATGCCACTCCGAATGTGAGACCTTCTCTCTCTCTCTCTCTCTCTCGGTTCACATTGCTTTCGTTTTTTTTTTAAAAAAAAGGTTCCACTTTACAACATTAAATTTCACTTTAATGTTTGTTTTCAATTGTAAATCTGTACCTCTTATATTTTCGGTCAAATTATAATAGAAAATACTAAATGAATCACCCTTTGGTCATTTATTTAATAAAATTTTTTATATCCCTAACATTACTAAATTATAATATGTGCTTAGGAATTTTTTTTTCACCAGTAAAAATATAGAAAAGATTAACGCTTTTTTTTAATACCTCATGTGAGGGTAACATCACAAAGGATCATAGGGCCGTTTGTTTGATGGATTATCTTGGATGTGATTTTGTTTAGTTGTTATTTAGGTCAGATATATATATATATATATATTTGTTTATAAATTAGAGTAATATTTTTAGTTGATTGTTATAAATGTACGTAAAAAAATCTTAAAATATATTATGCGTTATTTTATTATTTTTGTAAAGAGGGGATAAATTAGTAATTTCATGGGATTAGATTGGGAATCCTCAGAGCATCTCTAACAATGGTTTTTTTTTTTTTTCAAATTTTAGTTAAAAAGTGTATTTCTTATTTTAGAAAATTACTTTTTGTAATTATCATCTCTAATAATACTCTCTACTTTTCCTCTATATATTTTAAATATGTTTAAAATATATTTTTTTAATCTTTTTTTTTATTAAAAATATTTTTCCAAACTTTCTTCTCCTTCTCTACCGTCTGAGAAAAAGTTAAGGGACGAGAGGAAAAAATGTTCTTTAACTTATAGGTAAATAAGGAGTTGAGAATGGTGGTTATTGAAGAGAATTACTTTGTGTTTCACTTTTTAAATTGGAAGAAAGTGAGGATAAGAGACTATTGAGATGCTCTAACCCTCCGATGGGATCCTGCTGTTGGGTGGGATTAATAGTTCAGCCTAACAGTGTTGTTGCCAATTAACGAGCCAAACATGCCATATGTATGGCTTATCTCACTAATAATTCAATCCCCTACCTAGTCTGTTGGCCAAACAAACAGGCATATTGTAACTTGACCAAAAATGAGGAGTTGACTTCTACAATTGAAAAATAATTTGATTTGACGGACTGGATAAGCGGGGATTAGAATCTACAAAAATGCTAGAGGCCCTAAAAATTCTACCAAAAGTTTTACCAAATGTCTCACATGGGTGTGGGACCCACATGGGACCCACATTGTGTGAGTCCGACACCCATGTGAGACATTTGGTAAAACTTTTGGTAGAATATTTGGGGTCTCTAGCATTACTCTTAGAATCTATTGGTTAGAATCTATTGGATTTGAATCTTGGGACTGTGAATCTCCCGGACTATTTGGTTGGATTGAATATGTATCCTGTGTTTGTTTTTTCATGGGATTAGATGTCTGGAAATGACTATTTTTAGTGAATCCAACGTTTGGTTGGACGAACTGGATAGGATAAATGACCAAAAGACTATTTTACCCTTTTTCAATAGTTTATTAAATAATAGCAATATTAAACATATCTTTAATATTTTAATTATTTTTATCTAAATTAAATAAAAATTTATTTTATTTTATTTTTTACACAATTAAATAAATTTATTTTTTAAAAATTAAATAAATAAAATATCAATAAAAATATATGTTATTTTTTAATCCGACGGATTGGATGCTTCCTTCGGATTACAATCCGCACAGTAAATAGTTCCTCCCCTTATCCCCCAATCAAACACACCCCAAGTGATATTTGATGTAAGTTATGCAAAGTGTGATTACATTGTTTTTAAGTGTTTATTTATAGCTTCTAATTTAAAAAAAAAAAGAAAAAGAAATTGTTAATTTTGTTATGTTATTTGCGGGAGTTGGAATTTAAGGTTTTCCTGAATTCTAAATGATTTTGCGTGCAAGTAATTAATGGTTTTACTTTCTTTCCTTGTTTTTTAGCTTAATAATTAATGGTTTTACTTACCTTGATTGATAATCATGCATGTCTGTCTAAGGCTTTTTTACTTTTCCTGTAGAATTAATTCTGTTTCCTGTACAGTACTGAATTTCGAATTTTGGTATTGGCTTATTTGATATTACAGAGGTTCATTTACTTGCTAAATTGCGTCAAATTTTCATCAATTTCAGGTATTTTCATTTCGGCACCGCGCAAGTTCTCTTCAAGAGGCAATTCCCGCTGCTTAATAAGCGCGAACATTTCGGCAAGTCCTCTCTATTTATCAGTATATGAGCTTCATTTCAAAGGGGCAAATAGTTTTGCTATACCTTGTTTTCATATATTTTCATTTCTATTTGTCAATTATCTTGAGAACAATAATTTTCTCACTAAATTTATTCGCATATGAATTGTGAAATCAAAACCAATTACATTGGCCTAAGGCTTGTTAATTCACCCTTTTTTTTATATATATTTCTTTTTAAATTTTATATTATTTATTATAATTGTTATCTACAAATAATTCTCTAATTTTGCGTTTGGGTATCATATTTGAGGGGAAAAAGAAATAATAATAATAATAAAAGAAAATGAAGCAAAAGAAACTACTTTTTATTTTTATTTATGTATTTTTATTTTTGTAAATTTGGTTGGGTCAGAAAAATAGAAAGAAGATTAATATGTATTAGTCAAAAATTCATTCTTCATTTAGTCATAGTATATATGTTTATGTAATTTCATTTCTCTTATATTTTTCATTGCCTTAGACAAATTGAAGATCCAAGTATTTAAAATTGTGAATCCATTGTATTCACGTGTTTTAAATTACTCAAAATTATGTGAGAACAAAAACTAGGAAGGCTTTCTTCTACCAAGTTTCCGGCTCTTTTAATAGACATCTCCAGAACTAATAGCTAGTATTGATTGCCTCTCTCTCTCTCTCTTCTTTTTAGTTCCAGCTAGTAATTATTTGTGCATAGTATAAAATTAGCCAAGCAATAGGTATGAAGGAAACTATGAAGCGTACTTCAAAAATATTATCATTTGAGTATCTAGTTTTTATTTGGTATGGGTACACGTATTGGGTATGTGAAACACGTGTCTAGTATGCGAGATGCTTTAGGCTTGGCATAGGTATGACGCAAGTAGGACTTTGGTACTTTTGTCGGTACTTTGGGGGCATAAATGTAATTTTAATTTAAAAAAATGGATAGTAAAATAATTATATAGTGTATTTCCAAAACATAAAAAAATGTAGGATATTTTTACAATTATCAAAATATAAAGAATACTTTTAGAGATAAAAAGTACGAAAAGTTGTTTGGTTTGGTTTTTTTCAAAAGATGTTTTGGAAAATTATTTTGAGAGAGTTTTAGAAAAAGTGATTGATTTGATGTGTGTGAGAGAGAGATTTGTTTGGAAAACTTGTTTGGTTTACAAGTTTTGAAAATTTTTTTTGAAAAATTTGTTTGGTTTGATTACTTTTAAAAACTTATTTGTAGAGAAAATTTCCCAAAAATTTTTCAGAAATACAAACCAAACGAACCCTTTGAATTCTTTTTTGACCATGTATATATGTATGGACCATAAAAAAATGTAGGATATTTTTACAATTATCAAAATATAAAGAATACTTTGAATTCTTTTTTGACCATGTATATATATATGGACATATTGAATCGTATCCATATCTTCTTTTTTTAGTTTTACCAGATTGACGTATGGTATCCATAACATGCCTACCCACACCCCTGTTTCCTAGGAAGGGAAGTTCACAGAGAATGCATGTGTCTGCTTGAGGGAGTAGCTTTAGTATACAAGGGACCTTTATAAAATCTTACATTTGTCTAATTTAGTGGCTATTTTAACAAATAGGTAATTATAGCTAGGTTCTCAAAGATTACCCATATCAAATATTCGTTGGAATTTTCCATACAGGAAGTAGCCATTTATGGTATTCATTACATTGAACTTGATTTGAGGTTTCGAAGCAATCCAAATACCCAGCATGCTAGATCTTCAACTCGGCTTATAGCCTCAATATGTATAGGAGAGACAGGGCAATGTCATTCATCAAAACCATTAAGGACAAATTTAGAGGATTTGGCACCAGATATTGGCAGGGCACTTCAAGTTGTTCTGATTTTCATTGATGGTAAGTCTTGCTACCAATTTAATGGAAGCAACATAAAAAGTAAGGCTATTTGCATTTTGCACTCCTTTTTTCATAATTACATTTCATATTTTCATTTTAGCATTTAAAATGATGCATAATATAATTTTCAGTGCATGCTAAAATGCTTAAATTTTGACTGCAATTATCAAAAAAATAATGTGAATAACAATCCTCTATAAAATTTTTAAAAAATGCAGCTTTGTTTTTTTATTATATATATATATATATATATATGCCTTACTCATGCAATTAACATATCCATAGTGAAGCGCATTTGTAGAAAGCATGGGATCTACCGCTGGCTATTTTGATAAGTAACTCAATTATATTTTCATTTTTTGTTATTAACTCTTTTTCTTTTTAATTTTTCTTTTAAGTTGCAAGTATCATAAAAAGACCACTAATTTTCTCACAATGTGTACTACTATAAAATGAGTGAGCCTTAAAAGTGTTTTCTACATTTTTTATTCAATGGCATATTTACACATGAATTATAACTTAAAGTGAACCATTATACACATTGTAAAAGGCTTCTCAAGCAGAAAGTTATTTTGTAATTCTAGAATTTGATTCGAATTCAAATACCAATAGTCGCAACTCTTTGTATCTTTTCTAATCATAGGAAGTTGTGGCTAATTGGCCAAAGGGTGCCCTAGCATCTATTAAGAGTTTGGGCCATATAATACAACACAGTTTTTTTGTTAATTTTTTCTTCTCAACCATTTGAAACACACCAAACTATATTTTTTTCCTTCTTTTTTACTTTATGCCCTGATTTCACCATAGAAATCTTTGTATTGCAATTGACTGGCATGTGAAAAATTATGAATTCCCAATTTTTAGAGTCTAATATCATAAAGTCTAAGGCGAAGATTTTGCTATCCTCAATAACAAATATGCAAGATGTTGACGATTAGTGCTGTCATAAAATAAACCACTAAAAAAATTATTAATTTGTGTTGAACTTTAAGATGTTATGATCTAACTACTTTTTTTTTTCTTTTTTTTTGGGGGGGGGGGGGGGGGGGGGGGGGGGTGTGATTTTGAAAAAAAAATTATCTTCTGTCATTTTTATTTTATTTAATTTTATATTTGAGTTAAATTTTTTTTTAGATGCACCTAAATGATAAAAGTATATGTGAAGAGACATCTTAAAAAAATGACCCTCCAAAAAATGTGCATAATTTTTATTATTTATTATTTTTCTTTCCAGATTTGTTCACATATATTTACTTTTTAAGTGTATCTATATTTATATTAGATGCATTTAAAAAATAGAATAAAAATTCACTAAAATATGAAGAAAAAAAATTAACTAAACACCAAAGAGAAAAAAAATTACAAAATGTAAGAAGCCTAAAACAATTTTTGAAAATTAAACCAAGAAATTTATACTACAATTCCTAAGGTAGCAAACTAACGGCAATGTATTTTATAAAATGTTTCTATAAAGTCTAATAATCCATAATGATGAATTTCAATCTAATTTTACATTTTTTTAATATGAATAATACTTTTATAAAAAAATTAATATATTTGTACTTATATTTTTTAATTATACAAATTATGAATATTATATTAACCAAAGTAATAAATCACAATTAGATCAAAAGAACTATAGCATAAAATTCATCACTTTCTATTATTTGCAATTATGATTTTTTTTTTAATAAAAAAATATGGTAACAATTCAAAAGACAAAATTTTAGTATAATTCCATCAACATAGTTATGAAAATTAATATTGCGATGGATTCATATATTTCTCAATGCACTTTTAATGAGAAGGGTAAAATTAGAGGGGGGGGGGAATACAATTATGGAAAATTTTATTTTTTTAGGAACAATTTATAGAAACTATTTAGTTATCCATATTCACTACAAGAAAATACAGATTTCGCGACTAAAATAAATTTTTTCGTCGCTGAAAGTAGTACAAATGGCTACTAAAATGGATTTAGTCGCCAAAATTGGTGACTTTTGCCGACTAAAAGAGTTTAGTCGTCGAATACAAGGCTTTTAGCGACTAAAAGGCAGTTTAGTCGCCCAATGTGGGGGTTTTAGCGACTGAAGGTTGTTTAGTAGCCAAAAGTGACAGTTTTTGGCGACTAAAATAATTTAGTAGCCAAAAGTGATGGTTTTGGGGACTAAAAAACAGATTAGTCGCTGATTGTTGGTGTTTTCCGACTAAAAACAGTTTAGTCGCTGAAAGTGAAGCTTTTTGGCTACAAAAAAAAATTAGTAGCTAAAAACAGTCCATTGCCAACTAAAATTCAGTTTAGTAGCCAAAAGGGGACGTTTTTGGCGACTAAAAACAGGTTTAGTCGCCAAAACTACTTATTTTTTGGCGAAACTTAATTTTTTTGCGACCAAATTATAATTAGTTGCCAAAAATGATAGAATTGGCGACTAAAAATTTAATTTAGTCGCCAAAAGTGGCCTAAATTTTTTTTTAGTAAATAATTTATTTTTTACATAAAAGTATATTGAATTAAAAAAATTATATTTATATATATTATTTTGTATTAATAGCGGTTAATATACTATATAAATAATATATATTGCATATATATTAATGTGATGATGTTGTGGCATAGTGGAGTGAGTGTTTGGTAAAAGGTTTGGAATGTGGTGGTGGGATGTCTCAGGTTCGAAACCTGCGAGCAACACAGGTTCAAATTTTTTTTTAAAATATGCTTTTAGCGACTAAAACAGGTGGTCGCGAAAAGCTTTATTATTGGCGACGAAAAAAAGAGTCGGCAAATGTATAAATTAAAAAAAAAAATTCACTATTGGCGACTAAAACTTTAGTCACCAAATGTATAATTTAAAAAATATAAATGAGCTTTGGCGACGAAAATTTAAGTCGCTACACAGTTTGTTTTTGGCGACTATAAGTGGGTTAGTCGCCCATACTTTCCGCGACAGTTTTCCAGCGACAAACATGGCGACTAAAAAATTTAGTCGGGAAAACCTAAAATCCGACTTTTGGCGACTAAAAAATCACTTTTGGCGACTAAAAATTTAGTCGCCAAATGTGTATTTTCTTGTAGTGATTCAAACTTCATAGGATTCAATGGTAATTGTCAAAACAAAATAAAACATCTGTTTGGTTTCAGTTTTCAGGATTCATTTTTCTAAAAATTTTATTTTTTCGTTTTTCATATATTTTTTCTTTCACTGAATTTTTTTAATATTTTAAGCAAATTTTTTAGTTTTTAGTCACTTAACTTAAATACACTTACAAAGTACAATATTTGTTAAATTTTTTTAAAAAAAATTCACTAAATACCAAAAACACAATATATATATATATATATATAGATGAAAATTTAGTACATTTTTTGTATTTTTGTATATTTATTAAATTTTTAGAATATTTTTTCACAAATATTTTATTATTTAGATACATTTAAGTAAGATGTATCTAAAAAAGTAAAAAAATTGCTTAAATTTTTTTTAAAAAAAATTTATTGAAAACAAAAAAATGAGGAAAACATAAAAACGCAATTTTTAAAAAACTATTCTAAATTAAACTTTGAACTCTGGTAAAAAGTAAAAAATTGCTTACATTTTTTTAAACATTTATTAAAAACAAAAAAAATACGAACAATAAAATATTCAATTTCTAAAATACTAAATTTAGAAAATTGAAACTAAACGCACTAAATAATTTCTTCAATTTTGGTTGCCAAAATAATCTCTCTCTAGTAAGGTGTGACAAACAATTAATATAGCAGATCTGGCAAGCAATTGAATTTGAAGACATTATTAAAAGTTGGCAATCAGCTTTTTGGTGAAAAGTTGCTTATAAATAGCTTTTTTGTGAGAGATAAAGTAGGTTATAATTTAAGAAGTGGATTATAACTCACATCTCAAAATAAGCCAAAGAGATTATTACAGATTTGTGCATATAAAAGGATTTGATAATTGTTTGCTTACATCACGTGGATGCGCACATTTAAGATGTCTCCCTTTACAATGTACACTAGGAAACTGCACCCCCCATTAGAGGTGCATATGATATGTACCATGTTATAAATTAATGTGATTGTGTTATAAAATTTTGTAGCATTAGTCACAAAATGCATTGGTCACAAAATGCATAGCATTAGTATTGGCGTAATAAAATATACCGTAAACAAGTTATGAAATTTTGTTACATGAATAAAAAAAAATTAGATATTTTGTTACATTAATTTATTATGAGATTACGCATTTTATAATTGATATTACAAAATTCTGTAATAAAATAGGCTTTTCCCGTGCGTTATCATAAATTTCTCCAAAGCCAATAATATTATGTTACTATATTTTTATGAAATTTAAGAAGTGTCAATATTTTAAAATTTTTCTTTTTTTATTTATGGGCAAAATCTATCAAATACCATAATTCTCCATCCCTCCCAAACCCACCCATGCCCCCGAAAAATTATACAATAATTTCAAAATATTATGTGATCCTATTCTCTTACTAATAATTATTTATTATATTCCTTTATATTTTTCAATCACTCAACACAAATAATCAATATTCCATCTTCTCTACAAATCGTACTACTATGGAACATCATATGGCCATACTTCGGATGAAAGTGATGCCACTGGACCATAAATTTATGGATAAATTATACTAACACCCTCTGAGGTTTTAGTTTAATACAGATCTCTCCTTACATTTGAAAAATTACATTCTCCTCCTTGAGGTTTCTAATCTCATTATAAATTGCCTCTTGGATTGCTGATGCTATACCCAAATTTTTTCTAAATGATCATCTTGTTCTTTTTATGATATTTTTTGTATAAATTTTTATATAAGAATATAATTTTTTTTTATTTCCACCATTATATCTAGATTAGATCAATTTATTCTAAATATATTTAAAAATAATAAAATTTGTACAAATTTTTTTTTTATTAAAAAAATCCATTGAATGCAACAAAATTCACAAAATCACTTGCATCTCATATGTTTTTTGTAACACTCATCTCATATGTTTTTTGTAATTTTTTTTTTCTGTCCCACTGTACTATAGTTTTTCCTAAATATATTGACCATCTAATTTTGTGATCCCTGATATCCAATAAAAATAAAAATAAAAATACTCAATTTTTTGTGTGAGTTAAACCAAAAAAAATATTGTTATTTTCTTTGAAATGATATAAATAAAATATTTGTATTATTTTATTATTTTACTGCATAAGGTTAATGAGCAAATGTCGTTTTAATCTGATAGGAGATAAGTATAATTTTTCAAATGTGAGAAAAATTTATATTAAACAGAAACCTCAGAGGTGTCAGTGTAATTTACCCTAAATTTATTGAGTTCGATTACTCATATTTATTTCTGATATTTAAAAATAAAAATTAAAAAAATATAATTATTATAGCATTATTGATTTAAAAAATAATAAAGGGTGCATCTCACTCATCTCAATTGACAAGCATGTATGCCTGAACCATTCTTTGCTTTTCCTGCAGAATGTCCGTCTCTGGAGCGTTTGGAAGTGAATTGTTGTATGGCTTATTTATTCCAGTCGAAATTCATTTAGTTGCTATTAATGGCTTCAAAATTTCGTCAATTATTTTTGGAATAAATTACAAATACACCCCTTGAGAAATCATTAAAATATAAATTGTCTCCTGTGATTTCAGAAATTACATTTCACCTCCTGAGATTTCTAATTTCATAACAAATCGTCATTTTTATTAATAAATCATTAAGTCAATTAATAGTTTTTAATGATGTTATAAATATGTTTCAATTAATAATTTAGGCAATTTCATCATTGTATAGAAGAACAATTATGAGTTTTGTTTTTTTTAAAATTAATTTTGTTAAATAAAAAATTTTAACAAGGGGATATTTATAATTTTTAAAAAATTTATACGTTAAACAAACTTCATGAGTGTGTTTATAATTTATCCATATTTTTATGATACAAGAGATTTCACATGCCAGATCAAGTTTGCTCATTGTGCAAAGCTGCAGAACTTGCAAAACAAAAATCTATGCCATTGGGGCCTTTCCTTCCGCCAAAAAATTCAAAAATGGTATCAATCTGCAGTTGTTTATCAGTAGTGAAAACATCACGCAAGCTTTCAATTGAACTATTACAAGTGCTTCCGTCAGTCCAACTACCACAAACTCTGCAAATTGCTATAGTTGAAGAGAAAATGACACAGTTGCTTAGCTACTCAGGGGAATTCATTTCTCAGGTTTGTCCTCTATATTCAGTATCACTTTATGTTATGTTGGACCTTCATTTCTAAGGGTAATTGTTTTTCTCTCCCTTGTTTTTTATTTATTTTTTCCACCACTAGCTCACTTAGGTGCAGTTTGGTAACACTTACGTTTTCAGTTTTTCGTTTATATTTACAAAAATTTAAAAAACTCAAATAAAAACTTGTTTGGTAAAATTTTTGATTTATAAATGAGTGGTCTCAGTTTATAAATTTGGCCAAAAAATGAAAACACAAAAAATGTGTTTCCGTTTTGAGTTTTGAGTTTTGAGTTTTTTTTTTTCAACACTAGTCACCACTCGGCACCATTTTCCACCACCGTCTTCCACCACCACCACCCACCACCCACCTTCCATCCACCCGCCACCACCCACCACTCGCCACTACCATCTATCGCTACTACCTACCACCCGCCACCGTCACCCACCTACCCACCACACCATCCGCCACCTACCCGCCACCTACCACCCACCTGCCACCACCACCACCCACTCGCTACCACCCGCCACCATCACCCACCGACCCACCACCACCACCACCCACCATCCACCACCCACCGTCACCACTTTCCACCACCGTCTTCCACCGCTACTTGCCACCACTTGCCATTTCTCACTCTTTTTTATATTTTTAAATTTTTTTAAACATTTTGTCAATTACCAAACGCGTTTGTAGTTTAT